GCGCAGCGTGTGCAAGCACTCCCCCCTCGCTGCCAGCCGGGCTTTCTGTCCGCGTCGTGTGTAAAACCCCGGCCGGCCTCGTGAGCCGCCTGCCCGCCCGCCTCGCTGACACCTGCGTTCTCGGGTTTTCGTTTCAAGGGGTTCGGCAAGCGCAGTGGCTCACCAAGACAAAGCTGGTGGAAGGCTTACCCCCGCCCGTGCTCGGCGTCCTCGACGGCCTGGCTCACCAGGACCACGAGGAGGTGGTCAAGCGCGCGATCTCGCACGCGCGGTTCTGGAACACGACGGAAGTTGCTCCCAGGAGAGAGTATTATTGGTAAGTCCTTGGTCGTAGGGAGGATCTTGCCGCTGCGCGGTTGTGGCTTTAGCGTAAGCCAGGCCGATCATCGAGCAGGTAACTTCAGAAACAAAGTTCTTAACGCTACGAAGAAAATCCATATATAGGTGTACTGATGAGATTCACGTGCTGCGCAAAGCCGTTAGACCCTTTGTATCAGGTTGTAAAACAACCAAACCACAACATCCAGAAACCCCGATTCCAAATATTGACAGGAGTACCAGTGTAAACACATCCTCTACATTAAAGCTTCTTTCAGGCCAAGATCTGCGTTTCAACTTGAGATCTAGCTGATGCAAAATGTCAGTTTTTAAATAAGTAATGGTAAGCGTTACCGCTGCCAACTTGGAAGGGGACTGGTGTGTGGGTTATTAATCCGAAATCTGCGTTAGCTGTTTGGAAACGTTATGCTATTACACGTTTTGCATGCAGTAATGTTACAGCATTCGTGTCCCAGAAGCATCTGCCCGCCATTATGATCACATTTTTTATGTAACTACATTTCTTTCCTCGTTCTGAAGCCCGGTACTGTTTGAAGACTTGATGCATATATGTCGATTAACATCTGCGAACCTTCCTTCTCCGACTAAAAGAATGTTGGCTAGGAACTACAAGATAGCAGCTACGTGGGAAAGAGGTTAGTTTTGCTGCTGTGGTGGAAGCATTTAGCTCTTCTCCTCGGTGTCAGAGGGGTAACAAAGCTGTTGGGCTTTAAGGCTGAGGACTTGGAGAAAATGAAATGATTTTTTGAAACCAAGGAATTCCTTATAGCATTTCTTATATGGAGACCTTATAGCACCATCCAGTACCTGAAGGGCCTGCAGGGAGCTGGGGGGAACTTTTTACAAGGGTCTGTAGTGACAGGACAAGGGGTAACGGGTTTAAATTGAAAGTGGGGAGGTTTAGATTGGATATCAGGAAGAAGTTCTTCCCAGAGAGGGTGGTGAGGCACTGGGACAGGTTGCCCAGAGAAGCTGTGGATGCCCCATCCCTGGAAGTGTTCAAGGCCAGGCTGGATGAGGCTTGGAGCAACCTGGTCTAGGGGAAGGTGTCCCTGCCCATGGCAGGGGGGTTGGAACTGGATGGTCTTTAAGGTCCCTTCCAACCCAAACCATTCTGTGATTCTTTCAGTTCTAAATAGTGCTGTAGGGACGAGCGGCCTTCCAAGAGGGCAGGATACTTGCCCTGAGGAGGTTGTTAGGGTGTTAGACAACAAGATGGCAGGAGAAGAGAACCGGTGTCTTAGAAGTCATGGTTTATTTTTTTGTGTCCAAAATGTGTGCTGTTGTTTTTCTGTGTATGTTTAGTTAGGAAGCCAACACCAGCAATTCATGTTAGTATTTTAGAAGAAGAACCTGCAGCTGAGCTGTGTGAGTTTAGTTTGGGGGTGAGGGGGAGAGAATGAGCCTTGCAGGACAAGGACTTGCTAGAAGGCTGCTGTCTTAGAAGTCATGGTTTATTTTTTTGTGTCCAAAATGTGTGCTGTTGTTTTTCTGTGTATGTTTAGTTAGGAAGCCAACACCAGCAATTCATGTTAGTATTTTAGAAGAAGAACCTGCAGCTGAGCTGTGTGAGTTTAGTTTGGGGGTGAGGGGGAGAGAATGAGCCTTGCAGGACAAGGACTTGCTAGAAGGCTGCTGCCCGAAAGGAGTTGTATGTCTTTTCCTACATCTTTCCCTAAGGTTATTTCGGCACTGTTTGAATGTAGCCTAATTTCCCTCCCTAGAATCCATTCTCCTTCAGGTCCGTGGCCTGAATGGAATACTTATGAGCGCTATGGCCCCAATACCACCAGTAGCCTCCAAGGAGGAGATCCTGGCCACTGAAGAACATGTTCTGGAGACCTTCTATCCCATCTCTCCTACAATTGACCTTCAGGAAGTGAATGTGTACAAAGAGCTCAACGATACAGGTAAATCCAGCTGCTGGTAACAATTTTCTGTCATTCCAAGTGTTGGGGTTAACCTGGAGTCCTTCCCCATCTGCGGGACGGCTGCGGGTAGCAGGTGGGTGGGGGCGAGGGGACACAGCAGCTGGGCACAGGCTGTGCAGTGCGAGCGCTCCGGTCCTGTGGCGAGTATGTTGGGGCCTGAGCAGGATTGCGGGGGAGAGCGTAAATCCCGGCAAATCAACAGTTCCTGGAGACAGGGCAGAAAACATTGGCTGTGTAATCGCTTAGTGAGCCATTCCTGACGTGATTATCTGCCGTTTAGGTTTTAGAGATGGTTATCCATACTGTCATCCTCACACTCTGTTCTTCCTGGAATCGGCCAACATTCGTACCAACAGGTTCAGACCGGAACAACTTCGTGCTAAAATGCTGATGTTTGCTTTCGGCAACGCGCTGGCAAAGGCTAAGGTGCTCTACGGGGTACGTACTGGAGACCGCTGCTGGCTTGCTGGGCCTTTGCTCTTTCTCTGAAGCTGCAGCTAGTGGAAAGAGTCGTGAAATTCCCTTGCTGTGGCACCGTGGTTACCGTAGGTTTCCAAACTCATCGTCCTAGTCCACAGTTCAAACTGTGACCTTCAGGGATGGTTCTGCTAGTGCAGAAAAAGGTCTCTCGACAGTGAGCGTGTTTGTGATGTAACAGGCACGAGAGTGGTAGGAACCAGGGAGTGGGTTTAAGTGTAAAACTCTAACCCATCCCGCAGCTCAGTATGTAAATTGATACTTCATTGCTGGCTGAAGGAGGAATTTTAATTAAAATACAAAATCTACATTCAAACTTGCTTGACTAGAGTTAATTTTCTGGGCAAGGTAACAATACATTTATTAAACTCTTGGCTTTAAACCAAGTAGAAGATGCAGAATCAGCAAGTGCTCATACAATTTCTGTGGTAACTGCCTTTTTTAACGTTCTCCCCCTCCCCCCATTCTTTCCTAGAATGATCCCAAGGTTTTGGAGCAGCCAATAGTGGTGCAAAGCGTTGGCACAGACGGCCAGCTCTTCCAGTTCATGGTGTTCCAGTTAAATACAACAGACCTCGTCTCTAGCGATGGCGTAAAAAACCTGGTCTGGATTGACCCCGATCAGAATCTCTATGAGAATGCCCAGTGTATTCCAGTGGTCAAGAAGAGAGTTGTTACGGTAAGCAAAGCGGAGCGAAACCTGGGAAACGGTCCTGGGAATCCTTCCCTTTCACCTCTGCCGGAGGTTTGGGAGCTGGCGTAGAGCTGCAGCGTGGGTTTTAAACCAGCCGAAGGGACGTGACACAAGCCCTGGCCGCCTTCCTCCTCGAGCAGGTGTTGGTGACAGGGAGTGTTTGTCGTGCTGATGCACCCCGTGGGGTGCAGGCCACGCGCCACGCTTAAGGACGAGCTCCTCCGTTCGGGAACCTACCGTCTCGTAACGTGCTTCTTTAAAATCGGCTCGTGCTCCGCCGAAGGAAGCGCTTCCGTGCCGGCGTCGGCTGCGCTCTGGAGGATGTAGCGTGGGGTGCTGTCAGCCCTGGGTACACTGGGAGGGTGTCTCAGCTTGATGGGCAAAGGCTTCCTGCCGCTGGAGGTTGATGCCAGCTGAAGTCGCCACACGTGAACCCAGCTGGGGAGGGAGAGCAGGGTTTGGAAGCTACCACGTCCGAGGTCTTACTCCAGTGTATTTGAAGGGGTTTGTCTGCATGAATCACTTTGCTGCAAACTGAGCATCCCCGTTCTTCCTCTCTGCAGAAGCCCGCTGGAATATATGGCTTTCAGCCAGACACATTCAAGAAGTTTCTGGCACTGTATCTGCACGGAAGTGTGTGAAATTCAGCTCCAGTGAGAATGCTTCACCAACTGTACCTGCTGCTTCTCTTTGCCACAACCGTCGAGTAATTAAAGGTGGATTAATTTACTTTCAAAAATAAATTATATTGTTACCAAAAGTAAAAATTATTTGTTAAACTAGTGTGTGAAGAAACCCTTTCAGTGTAGGGGCTCACCTCTGGATTCGGGTTAGAATCATAGAATCACAGAA